GTGGAATGAACCGCCAACTTATCCAGCATATGTTTTACGCAGCGGATGCCCTTCCAGCAGCAACCCATCTCTGGGAAATATCCATACACACTCATTCACATTCATACACTACGTATAATTTAGCCTACCCAATTCACCTGTACCGCATGTCTTTGGACTGTGAGGGAAACCGGAGCACCCGGAGGAAACCCATGCGAATGCAGGGAGAACATGCAAACTCAGAAATGCCAACTGACCCAGCCGAGGCTCGAACCAGTGACCTTCTTGCTGTGAGGCGACAGCACTACCTACTGCGCAACTGCGCCATCATTATAATAATCATAATAATAACAACAACATTAATAATAATAATAATAATAATAATAATAGTAGTAGTAGTAGTAGTATTGTTATTATTAATAAATTATTTCATTTCATAAATCTTATCATAATCACCACAATCATTAATAAAAAAATTAAACAAAGCAATCTTAACAACAACAACAACAACAACAACAACAATAATAATAATAATAATAATAATAATAATAATAATAATAATAATAATAATAATAATAATAATAATAATAACAGGACGACGAGTAAAACATGCTGTGTAAAACTGGATAAGTTGGCGGTTCATTACGCTGTGGCGACCCCTTATTAATAAAGGGACTAAGCCGAAAAGAAAATGAACGAATGAATGAATGAATGAATGCATAATAATAATAATATTAATAATAATAATAATAACTATTATTATTATTATTATTATTATTATTATTATAAATTATAAAGTGTCCCAACTCTGCTATTGGAACCTGACACATGAGCCCTCTTGAATGAAGCAAGTGATCAGCATGATTTATATTCAACATGAAAATGCGAGTGCTGTTTTGTTTATGGTTTACATGTTTGCAGTCTGGATACGGTTTCTCTGTTTGAATGCAGAGTATACTAATAACGCCTGCTGGAGAGAGTTAATATTTAACATGAAGGCACAGAACACATATGCTATACAGCAGTCGCCTTTTTTTGTGTTTATATGCAGCTTTTTGTTAGAGACAAAAGCTGACACAAGAAGACAACACAGCCGGGTTTTGAGTCTGTGTCCACTTTGAGACCCCTAGTGCAGGTCCACTGATTGGGGGTGTGTGACTGTTCTCACTGAGCTTATTGAAGGTGTTGGCAGTTGCCATGACAGCCAACTGAAACAATAACATATCATCTTTCCTCCTGTGGCCACATTATATAGTGTTCCCTCTGCAACCTGACATGAAAGTCTTCAACTTGCGCTGTCAGCGGTCCCATTTTGAGATTACCATGGCTGACAATAACATCTCTTTGGTTGTAACTTACTTTTCGCCTTTATTTCAAAATTTTTAAGTTCTTGTGTGGAGTTAAAGGGATAGTTCACATCAAAAATGAAAAGTTACTCACTATTTACTCCAAACCTTTATGAGTTTATATTTTCTATAGAAGATATTTTGAAGAAAGCTGAAAACATATAACAATTGACTTAATACCATAGTTAAAAAAAATACTATGGAAGTCAATGGTTATCGAGCATCTCAATTCTGTGCATTTGTGTTCTTCATTAATGCCCCAGAGCTAATGAGATAATTGAGGTAGGACTCACTGGTCATGCTGTTGTAGTGAACAGAACTCCCAGACTCTTGGAATGTGTCTATAACAGTTCATGTTATATTAAGTAATGACCATGACTTCATCACATGACTTGACTATTAAGGTCATGATGTGACCTCTTAAATCTTAAAACACTAGTGTCACAGAACGACAGAATGTTGCCTTTAAGCTTGTGGAATTTAAAGTCTGTATTAGCAGGATCTCCGTATTATCTAGGTTTCAACTTTTGGTAACACTTTAGATTGGGTAACAATTCACATCATTTACTAATGGTTTATTACCATTTTTTAAGATATGAACTGTTTATTAGCACTTTTAAAGAATGATCCTAATGTATATCCCTAATCATACTCAATCCATTCACCATAGGACCCTAACCATTCAAATCAATCAATTTCCCATAAACAAAATCAAGCCACGTCCAACAACCATCTAATCAATTCCCCTTAGACAAAATCAAGTCCCGCCCAACAACCAACCAACCAACCAACCAACCAACCAGCCAACCAACCAACCAACCAACCAACCAACCAACCAACCAACCAACCAACCAACCAGCCAACCAACCAACCAGCCAACCAACCAACCAACCAACCAACCAACCAACCAACCAGCCAGCCAGCCAGCCAGCCAGCCAGCCAACCAACCAACCAACCAACCAACCAACCAACCAACCAACCAACCAACCAACCAACCAACCAACCAACCAACCAACCAACCAACAAACCAACCAACAAACCAACCAACCAATCAACTCCCCACAGACAAAATCAAGCCCTGCCCAACAACCAACCAATCAATTCCCCATAGACAAAATCGAGTCCCGCCAACCAACCCACCAACCAACCAATCAACCAACCAACCAACCAACCAACCAATCAATTCCCCTTAGACAAAATCAAGTCCCGCCCAACAACCAACCAACCAACCAATCAACTACCTATAGACAAACTCAAGCCCTGCCCAACAACCAACTAACAATTTCCCATAGACAAAATCAAGTCCCGCCCAACAACCATCTAATTAATTGCCTATAGACAAAATCAAGCCCCACCCAACAACCAACCAACCAATCAATTCTCTATAGACAAAATCAAGCCCTGCCCAACAACCATCCAATCAATTTCACAAAAATAAAATCAAGCCCTGCCCAACAACCATCCCATTAATTCCCTATAGACAAGCCTCACCCAACAATCAACCAACCAATCAATTCTCCATAAACAAAATCAAGCCGTGCCCAACAACCACCCATTCAATTCCCCATAGACAAAATAAAGTCCCACCCATCAACCATCCAATCACTTACACAGACAAAATCAAGTCCCACCCAGCAACCATCCAATCAATTCTCCATAAACAAAATCAGGTCCTGCCCCAAATGTATTTTTACTGTTTAAAGCACTTTCACTTGGATATACGTCAAACAAGGAAGAAAATTCTTACACAACTTCCACTTAATGTTATTTCCACTTTCATTCATTTTGATTAAAATTACTGGTAAGCTACTAGGCTGGCTTAAAAAATCTATTCATGGGTTTTCAAACTGCCTCACTGTTTTTGTTAAACTTTAAAACACTTAATTTATAGCCATCCAGGCTTACTTAACCCTATTATTTTAGCCTTTTGATGTAAAGTACAATGACAATCATACAATGCTGAGCTCATAATGTTCCAAGTGACTGATTACTCAACCGCACCGTCCTGCACAGCACTTCCCGTTTTACAAGAGTGCATTTGGAGAATGTTTCACTTCCCACTCATCAAGTGACACCAAGACAGAAAGGAAACGAAAGAGGAAAGCATTTTAAAGGCTGTCTGCCTCATAGATGCGCACACTCTTATGTGTGGTAAGCAGATGACAATACTGTTACTAATATAAGAATGTTGCTTATGCTCATATGATACTAATAGAATTACTAATATATGAACTCAGACGAAAAAGAGAAGCAGTAATCTATGTATGTCTTCATGCCACAAACTGCTTCTTTGTGAAATACATGAATAAAAATCTAGCAATTGTATTTAAACATTTACATAGCAGATCTAAAAGTTATTCAAAGATTTTTTCTTAAATTATAAAACTTATGTGAACAACATAATACTTATGTGAATGAGAAGAATTATTTACAGGTCATTCTAGAATTGTGGGTACATATTACGTTTGAGTATGTGTGTATCCAGGGACATTTTATCTTGAAAAGATTTGCAACTATTCATTTAAACCTTTCCTTGCCTCATTAAATAATTAAGTCTATATTTCATCTTTCTGTTGTGTTTTCTGTCAACTCTGTTACTGTCAACGTTATTATCGTCAACTCTGTTAACGTAAACTCTGTTATGTCAACTCTATTACTATCATATATGTTACCGTTAATTCATCTATAATCAACTTTGTTACTGTCAACTCTGTTATTGTCAACTCTCTTATCTTTAAATCTTATATCGGTAACTGTTATTATCAACTCTCTAATTGTCAACTTTGTTATCGTTAGCTGTTATTGTTATTGTCAACTCTGCTATTGTCAACTCCATTATTGTACCATCCGTTATCCTCAATTCTGTTATCATCAACTCTATTACGGTCAATTATGTTACCGCCAACTCTGTTATCGTCAGCTGTTATTGTCAACTCTGCTATTGTGAACTCTGTAATCGTACCCTCCGTTATCGTCAACTCTGTTATCGTCAGATGTTTTTGTCATTGTCAACTCTGTTATCGTCAATTTTGTTATCGCACATTCCATTATCATGATCTCTATTATAGTCAACATTGTTGCAATCAACTGTTTTATAGTCAGCTCTGTTATCATCAACTCTGCTATCGTCAACTCTGTTATCATCAACTCTGGTATAATCAATTCTGCTATCGTCAACTCTGCTATCGACAAAGCTGTTCTCATCAACTCTGGTATAATCAATTCTGTCATTATCAACTCTGTTATCATCAACTCTGTTATCATCAACTCTGTTATCATCAACTCTGTTATCGTCAACTCTGTTATCGTCAACTCTGTTATCGTCAACTCTGTTATCATCAACTCTGTTATTATCAACTCTGTTTTTGTCAACTGTGTTATCGTCAACTCTGTTGTCATCAACTCTGTTATCGTCAACTCTGTTATAATCAACTCTGTTATCGTCAACTCTGTTATCGTCAACTCTGTTATCGTCAACTCTGTTATCATCAACTCTGTTATCATCAACTCTGTTATCATCAACTCTGTTATTATCAACTCTGTTTTTGTCAACTGTGTTATCGTCAACT